AGACGCTAGGTGACATCAAAGTTGCCGCGGGCACGTTTTAGCCCCCCCCCCCCCGGTCCTAGGTAGGGTTAAAGATGTTCCTTTTTCGTGGCAAGTAGTTTAGAGATGCAAGTAAGGCCACAACAAGTATATTTTATGGATGACATCCTCCGCAGACTCCAAATCCAATGCGAGCAGCGGAAAAAAAACAAGGCGAGCCGAAAAAAAACAGGTTCCTACATTTTCAAATTTTGACTTAATCATTGTACAAATGATTTTGGTTCAGTGGGAACATCACATATATACAGCCCAGCCACAGCCAGCATCACATATTACTGCATCAAAATAAGAAACAAAACATTAAATCAGAGATTTTTCTTGTCTCCTCTCTTCATAGTTATCTGTTATCCACCTTTCGGCATGGCAGCAGACAACTTTGCCCATTTTCGGCATGGTGACCACTGTCAAAAGGCAACAAAATCTTTTTTTTTTCAAAATCAGGCGAAAATTAATGCTCGCGTTGATGTCATCCATAAAAATTACGTGCTGTAGCCTAACGCTTGGTAAGGAGTTTTTCGTGTTGCTCTTTTACTAGCGCTTTTTGGGAAGTTTTAGCAGCCATGTTGTTTACCTGGGATCCTTACCTGTCGAAGAGGTCGAGCTTTCAATTGAGGTTTCGGAATCTCAACATTCGGCCAATGCATACACTGGAACTCTAAAGTCTGTATGACAAAAAAACAAGATTAAGGAAATAAAAACAAAGCGACGGTGTTACATTACAATGTAAAAGTTTATCAACACACATCTTGTTGTAGTCACAGCTACAGATATTGCCTTTATCAGACGGAGTATGACTTGTGTCACAGCGATCTCGCTCTCCGATGATTTCGCCGTCCCCGGGAATCGTATTTTGGAAATTATATTGCAAGCTAACACTCTCAAAACTATTTTATCAATGATAATCTCAAATTCCCGTTATTGAGATGCCTATATATATCAACAGGGAATATTTAAACAAAGGAGGTTAGTAATACTTTCTTGCTTTAAGCGAACCCGTAGTCCTGTCGTTTGAATTTTTAATCAAATTTGTGTACCTGCCATACCTGTGGTACTGTGTAAAAGGGTAGACTAAGTAAGGGGCGGGAGGGGAGGGGGCGAGATCTACGGAGGGGGGGCGAAATCGCTAGCGATCTCACCCCCACTGGAGGGCGACATCGCTGGGGGCGAAATCGCTGTGACACCGGCTCACATTTGAGTCCTGTATGTAGCGGGTTGGAGAAAGGCCTAAAATTACACTCCTCTCCTACCAACCTGTCCGAGAGTCATTGTTAATAAGGTGCTAATATACCCCCCCCCTGTTCATGTATATGTATTAAATAGTTCAAAATAAATTCCATCATCCAAATTCCAAATCGTTGATCGTTTTACAAAGGCGTTTGTGGAATAACCTCTTCCCCAAACCTGGTCCGGCTATAGTAATAGTTATAAAACTCACGACCTCATATCTTCGCTAGATGATGCTTTACCTTATATGACTAAAAAATGCAAATAAGATCGATGTACATGTAGTTCACTCTGCGTTTCATCGTAATAAAACGTTCATTGCATGATATTTTACACCCTCAGTTATCTAGCCATGGTAAAAGACAGTAGTAGTATAGGAGGGACGGGACGACTAATATTTTTGGGGAGGAGTGGGGAGGCGTGGGAACTGGGGAGGCGTGAGAACTGGGGAGGCGTGAGAACTGGGGAGGAGTGTGATTTGATGACCCGCTAATCGACCTGGGGAGGCTCTTGCTGTGGAGGCGTGGGAATAGGGTCACTAGGAAATGACGTAGTTTAATGAAGGTAATCACGAGACATTTATTACGTAGGGGGTGTTAGGAATGCTATTAGCTGTTTTAAACATGTCGGCATGCAGTATGGAAGAGCTGAAAGTGCAAACTGAAGACATCATACGTCGCTTACTTTACGAAAAGGCTCCAGAGTCGTTTCCCAAGTATCAGAGACGGGAAAATCTAGCCATAAGTCGAAAGATTGTGAGAGTGTCGAACGATGTAACGAAGACACGGGAGTGGCGAGATCTCGTTGACACTTTTTCGTCGACCACGACAAACGTTTCTAACCGCTTGAGAGACGTTCTCGAAAGCGTCCTACAAGAAAATGGATTGAACTGGGGACGTATCATCATCGGGCTGCTTTTTTGCCGTGGATGCACACATTAAACTTCACAAGTCGAAAAATACAACGGATGATGCGATCTGCGCGGAGGTTGTCGAGTTGGTCTGTTCAATGGCGGGGAGGTGGTTGTTACATTTGTACGTCACCAGGGATGGAACGGGTTGATTAGTCCTGTAAGACGAAATGTAGGCATGTCTTTCATTAACTTTATTTGTCGTGTGTTGATGGCACACGTTTGTGTTATCGTGCCGCCAAGATCTGCATTAAGTACGAAACACGTGGGGACTTGTCCAACCACCAGCTAGATTGGACTCGACATAACACGGTTCTATACGGCGATTGGTCAACACATGAAAGGTGACGAACAGTGACACATGATTGACGCCGATTGGTTAGCTCAGACAAAGGATATGTATAAAGACCGGGCAGTTCACCAACATGGAAAGATTGCTGACCCCTTCCTAAGAAAACGCGTGTTGTCAACATTTGACCTGTCCCTAGAGGTGAGTCTGTTACTATGTTTAAAGGCATATTAAATGAATGTGTCTATAATGTCAAAGTATGTTATATCGTTAAAACGAAACTTGTTCCAACAAAGTATGGACCGTCTTTGTTGAGTACTTTCCCACGACAAAAACACGGTTCAGGTGTGTAAACAATTGCAAAGAGATAGTGGTGTCATAAACGATTCAAACAAAGTTCATATCCTCTTTTGATGATGCGCGTACTTTCCCACGACGAAAGCACGGTTCAGGTGTGTAAATGATTGTAAGGAGATAGTGGTGTCATAAATGATTCAAACAAACTTAATATCGTCTTCGATGATGTAGAGAAAACCACGGAAAATATGACTATGACTATGATGATCATAGAGTACCGTAATTAGCGGCACGTCTGTTGTAAAAAAAACGACATAAAAACGGACCGTTTCGACAACATACAATCAGAAACGGCTTCGTTCTTATATGTATACATAGTCATATCTATACATATGTTTATGTCTATATATGTATGCGTGTGTATGTGTGTGTCCATATATCTACATTATGTTTATATGTATATCTATCTATCTATATGTATGTGTGTGCATATATATGTATATTTATACATCTACATATATTTATATACATATCGGTGTGCGCACGTGAGCAATGCATGAGTGACTCATGAGTGACTCATGAGTGACTCATTTACGCACATGTATACATATGTTCCCATCACGCATACCTGTACGTATGTGTCTATATATACATATATCGATATAAACGTGTTGCTCCGGAGTAAAATATCACTCCGGAGTAAGTATTACTCTATAAAATATTACTCCGGAGTAACTATTACTCCGTTTTGGAGTAAAATATTTACTCCGGAGTAAGTGTATTGGTAGCAAGTAAGTACATTTGTCATGGTTGGTCGTCACAGCCATCATGTGTAGATATATCACATGTGCATATACATCACCTTTGGAGTATATATATGATTACTCCGGAGTAAGTGTACTTGTTGTTAGTCACGTATGTGTGCGTATCATGTGTGCATGTATACATCAACACAACGGCGCAAAAGACAGCATAGTTTCGTCACACTTTATTGATCGTCTCATAAGTTATGTCAAACATCAGGTACAGATATCACCACGCAAAAAGTTGTACTTTCAATGGTATGACGACGCTACCGCTGTATTATTTTAGAACGACGTAACCATATTTTTTCATCAATGTCTGTTCCGAGACCCAGTTCGTACTGTATTCGATCTCGTAACTGTAACGAGGCAGGGCAGCAAACTCTACTAGATAAAATCTTCTGCCAGCGCGTTTTGTCTCCTTGATCACGCGCTGAGGGACATCGCCAGGATGGTGAGTTAGTGGAATGGTCCAGTCGCGATAGAGCGTCCACTTCTCCTCATCACCACTATCGAAGCTGTACTGTTCACTTTCCTCTTCAGAAGAAGCCGTGCTGGAAGACACGTCCGAGCTTGCATCACTCTCAGAACCACTTTCATCGCTGTCAGTTTCTTCACTCTCAGAACCACTTTGATCGCCGTCAGTTTCTGTCGCTGACTCTACCTCCTGATGGTCCATTTCAGACTCATCTTCTTCTGAGACTTCATCATCCTCGGAAGATTCCAGTGATTCCGTGTCATGCTCTGTCGTTCCCTCCTCCGACGGGTCGTCGGTGTCGTCAAATATGTCAGCGGATCGGTAAGAATCTGGCTCGGCGTCCATGCTCTCTTCTCCCGAAGAAATTTCTGCCACGTCTCCGTGTATCGTGTCGCGATGACGGGCGAGGTTCGCTTTTCGACTAAACTCTCTGCCACAGACGTCACATGCGTGATGCATGGTTGTGAAAATGGCGTTGCACGTTCATTGGCGACCTTATGTGCTAGTTGGGAGTTTCTTGCAAGTCACTCATTGGACACATTAGATATAACGATTCATCCATGGGATAGATAGATAAAAGAATAGATATAGATAGATACATACATGCACAAGCTGTAGGATGGAAATATATGTATATCTGTGCGTCTATACAAAGTAAATGAGTCACTCATAAGTCACTCATTTATTGCTCAGAAGATTTTATCTAGTAGAGTTTGCTGCCCTGCCTCGTTACAGTTACGAGATCGAATACAGTACGAACTGGGTCTCGGAACAGACATTGATGAAAAAAATATGGTTACGTCGTTCTAAAATAATACAGCGGTAGCGTCGTCATACCATTGAAAGTACAACTTTTTGCGTGGTGATATCTGTACCTGATGTTTGACATAACTTATGAGACGATCAATAAAGTGTGACGAAACTATGCTGTCTTTTGCGCCGTTGTGTTGATGTATACATGCACACATGATACGCACACATACGTGACTAACAACAAGTACACTTACTCCGGAGTAATCATATATATACTCCAAAGGTGATGTATATGCACATGTGATATATCTACACATGATGGCTGTGACGACCAACCATGACAAATGTACTTACTTGCTACCAATACACTTACTCCGGAGTAAATATTTTACTCCAAAACGGAGTAATAGTTACTCCGGAGTAATATTTTATAGAGTAATACTTACTCCGGAGTGATATTTTACTCCGGAGCAACACGTTTATATCGATATATGTATATATAGACACATACGTACAGGTATGCGTGATGGGAACATATGTATACATGTGCGTAAATGAGTCACTCATGAGTCACTCATGAGTCACTCATGCATTGCTCACCTGCGCACACCGATATATACATGTATATAGATATATGTAGATGTATAAATATACATATATATGCACACACATACATATAGATAGCTAGATAGATATACATATAAACATAATGTAGATATATGGACACACACATACACACGCATACATATATAGACATAAACATATGTATAGATATGACTATGTATACATATAAGAACGAAGCCGTTTCTGATTGTATGTTGTCGAAACGGTCCGTTTTATGTCGGTTTTTTTACAACAGACGTGCCGCTAATTACGGTACTCTATGATCATCATAGTCATAGTCATATTTTCCGTGGTTTTCTCTACATCATCGAAGACGATATTAAGTTTGTTTGAATCATTTATGACACCACTATCTCCTTACAATCATTTACACACCTGAACCGTGCTTTCGTCGTGGGAAAGTACGCGCATCATCAAAAGAGGATATGAACTTTGTTTGAATCGTTTATGACACCACTATCTCTTTGCAATTGTTTACACACCTGAACCGTGTTTTTGTCGTGGGAAAGTACTCAACAAAGACGGTCCATACTTTGTTGGAACAAGTTTCGTTTTAACGATATAACATACTTTGACATTATAGACACATTCATTTAATATGCCTTTAAACATAGTAACAGACTCACCTCTAGGGACAGGTCAAATGTTGACAACACGCGTTTTCTTAGGAAGGGGTCAGCAATCTTTCCATGTTGGTGAACTGCCCGGTCTTTATACATATCCTTTGTCTGAGCTAACCAATCGGCGTCAATCATGTGTCACTGTTCGTCACCTTTCATGTGTTGACCAATCGCCGTATAGAACCGTGTTATGTCGAGTCCAATCTAGCTGGTGGTTGGACAAGTCCCCACGTGTTTCGTACTTAATGCAGATCTTGGCGGCACGATAACACAAACGTGTGCCATCAACACACGACAAATAAAGTTAATGAAAGACATGCCTACATTTCGTCTTACAGGACTAATCAACCCGTTCCATCCCTGGTGACGTACAAATGTAACAACCACCTCCCCGCCATTGAACAGACCAACTCGACAACCTCCGCGCAGATCGCATCATCCGTTGTATTTTTCGACTTGTGAAGTTTAATGTGTGCATCCACGGCAAAAAAGCAGCCCGATGATGATACGTCCCCAGTTCAATCCATTTTCTTGTAGGACGCTTTCGAGAACGTCTCTCAAGCGGTTAGAAACGTTTGTCGTGGTCGACGAAAAAGTGTCAACGAGATCTCGCCACTCCCGTGTCTTCGTTACATCGTTCGACACTCTCACAATCTTTCGACTTATGGCTAGATTTTCCCGTCTCTGATACTTGGGAAACGACTCTGGAGCCTTTTCGTAAAGTAAGCGACGTATGATGTCTTCAGTTTGCACTTTCAGCTCTTCCATACTGCATGCCGACATGTTTAAAACAGCTAATAGCATTCCTAACACCCCCTACGTAATAAATGTCTCGCGATTACCTTCATTAAACTACGTCATTTCCTAGTGACCCTATTCCCACGCCTCCACAGCAAGAGCCTCCCCAGGTCGATTAGCGGGTCATCAAATCACACTCCTCCCCAGTTCCCACGCCTCCCCACTCCTCCCCAAAAATATTAGTCGTCCCGTCCCTCCTATACTACTGACAGTAGCAACATACCGTAAGGAACATCACCACAGCAGCAATCAACACTGTAAGTGCAACGCACATCCGGGCACTGGCCATGGCGTACTCTTTTACAAAATGTATAGAGCTGCACACACCGCCTGTCCTAGGTTGGGTCAGAGAAAACATAAAATTATTTACAGACTAATAGATTACAGAAGTACCTGAACTTGTAAAATCGTGATAATATACATGTACATGAACCGCACGAAGTACTATTATTATAATAATGGTAATATTGTGATCCGTGATACCACAGCACAAATTTTAAAAAAGGCAATTAGTATAAATATTCGTTCGCAAAATCATCCCAAAGGCATGACTAAAACAAGATTAAGGAAATAAAAGCAAAGCGATGGTGATTTACATTACAGTGTAAAAGTTTCTCCTTACACATTTTCTTATAGTCGCTAGAACGCAATCCTACCGCTACAGCCTTCATCAGTATGACTGGCCCACATTTGAGTCCTGTATGTACATTTGTAGTAGGTTGAAAAACGGCCTCAAATTGGATCGTCTCCTACCAAATTGTCCGACAGTCATTGTTAATAAGATGCTAATATAACCCCCCCCCCCTGTACATTTGTATGTACACTGTACGTATGATAGCGCAATTGCTGGATTGTCGACATAATTTCAAATGTTCTACAAATTTGACGATATTACTACTACTTAGTTCTATTGTCACATTATGGTACTTTACCGCCATTAAATTTACATCAGTGATATTGTCTTACCTTGTGTAGTAGACAAAGGCGCAGTAGTTGAGTTCAAGTGGTTCTACGGCAGTAATAGCCTCCGTAGCAGGCTTATAGAACTGGGGGTTTGGTGGTCTTCGGCTGTTTACTGATTAGAACAGTTCTAAAAGCAGCTATATGCAATCAGAAAATAGCACATAAAAGATCCCAAAGACCCTGAAGACCCCCCAAAAACAGTTTTTGGCTTGCTATATGGAGGCTACGGCAGTATAGATATTTGTTTCTCGAGTAACCTTCGCCTTCCTATACAAGCCTGAACAACGATCGATGTGAATGCCCATCAGTTCTAACACCTGGGCCAATAGACAGTGTCCATACATTGAACAAGCCTTTATTTGCTCAGTACTTTTACCGCAGTTAACCAAACAACCGTCTTTACTATCACAAAAGTTAATTTGTGTGGGTAGATAACATTATGGCTTTTTATTTACTTCAGCACAAGGGCTGAAAGTCCTTGGGACTCACCAAATTTCTGAGCTGTGACGTTTTTATGACTATGACTGTGTTAATAACAGGGTTTCGGTATTTAAACAACAGAGCCAACATTCACAAGCAAATTAAACGCATCAACCCTAAACAGTACACCTGGGGTCCGCGCGGACCCCAGCACTATGTATTCTGTAATATCTTTTTTTATTTCTAAAGATTTTTTTCTGAAATTTCAGGTAATTGTCACCAACAAAGTTGCCCCTCAATACAGAGCAGAAAACCCCGTTTCTCCCATTTATAAAAAAAATTATATCTGATTTCCCTTTGGGGTCCGCGCGGACCCCAGTCGGCTTTCGATCATAATTGATACACATGACCTTCGTAATGGATACACATGGCATTCTTATGCATGACCTTATTTCCGTTTTTATATGTTTTAATGCACTTTTCGTATGGCCACCAAATTTTCATAGAGTGGTGTAGTAATAGAATTAAATTTTGACAACTTTGGTGTACTTATGACGTCATATGACGTCACAGCTAATAAAACGGTCCGCCATATTGGATTTTGACCGATGACGTCATCAAAATTAGCATATTCTATGAATATTGAATGGTTTAACTTATCTTTAATTATGTAAGATGTCATGAATGTTAGAAAGGAAGTGGAATTTGATATAAAACCCATAAATTTTTTATGTTGAAACCAAAATTACTGATATTTAACGAAAAAACTGCCTGTCAGAAACCCGTTGCCATAGCAACACAAAAAACATTAACTTACTAGTACTAAACTAATATCAACTTTTTCTCAGATACATTTGAATACATAGGAAAGGTCACCAAATTTGATACTTCTAGCGCAAGCCGTTCATGAGCTATCTAAGATCAAAGTTGGGCCTCAAAAGCCCCTTCAGTCTGAATATCAAAAATTGGGTATTTTTTCTTTTCTTCACCAAAAAAAGTAAAAGTTCAAAATGCATGATTTTTGTATGTAATGTGGGCATAGAGGTTCATACATCAATTTGCAAAACAATTGAGCTGGTAGCATGTTGATAATATCTAAAAATGTGCAAAAAAACTGTTTTGGGGTCCGCGCGGACCCCAGGTGTACAGATTAATCAGTCCGGGAAGGTGTACTGTTGAGGTTTAATATCCATCGACGTCGACACAAATGACCTTTCATTAACACAAGACGTGGTGACGGCACGCTCAAGTCTTTTTCAACTTATATTAATGCCGCCACCAATACAGAGAACAATACAATACTAATTTTCATCTTATGAAGTGAAGTGAGGAAGTTGTGCGAAGTGCTTTTCCAAGGGCACAAGGTGGCATGTCAGGACTCGAACCCGGGACCTCTTGCGATTGGTTCCGAGTCGAGCACTCTGCCGCTACGCCACACGACCCCACATGTTTGTTTGTTTAACCACCTTGAACGCACGCAACGATCACGTATTATTGATTACTACCACAACGGAAACATGCGCATGTCACATGAAATTGCATCATGACCAAAGTATAAAAGGTAACAAATTAACAGGAAAAAATGCCTTACGAAGAAAACCGTTATAGAAGAACTACTTCGACTCAACATCGGCGCCTCTGTCTATTTCCGCACAAGGTAAACGTTACTATTCTTTAGGCTTCAATGCAACTGAAGGCCCTTGGATGGATCCGCAGTAATTATAAGGATATCTGATGGCGTCTGCCGCCATATTCTATGCAACCTTTATACGCCAATCCTATTCTAGAGCTGTCCTTCCCGAGGCAAATAATTCTCATTCGAAAACCTTCTGTAGGTCTATATGAGTGTATATCGCAACGTAAGTCTTGAGTTTTGGCAATCAATTCGACACAGAGACAAACAAACAAACACACACACACACACACACACACACGCACACACACACACACACTACACACATGGCCACTACAACGTAACATTTATGTCGAAGGTTAATGTCTCCTTTCCGTTGGAAGAGCTAATTATTATGATACATTACGATTGTGCATCTACATGTAAGTCCAGTTGTATTAACATTACTTTAATGTGGTCATTTATTTGTGTCACACATGCGTCGTCATCATGTGATTGTAATCGATTTGTGTTGTGGTAAATCATGAATCACAATACTGTTCGGGATCATTGATCAATCTTTTATTTATTTTTGGCGGCGTCTCAGGGAGGAGCCTAATGGTACAGTATTGTGTGCAATTTGGAAGAATTCTAGGAATCGTACAGGAATTTTGTCCACAGGCATGGAATGTCCACAGGAATGTTTCCCCGCTCTGTTTGTTGACATGACCAAATTCTTGGAAACCCTTGGGAACAGCTGTCTGCCCGGATGCCCTTCTTTCTCATCTGTGACCCGGGGCTCGTTCACTATACACTTAGGGGAGAGGAGGGTACCAAGGCTTCCCCAAAATCATGAAATCGTGGCAGTGCCATGCAAACATTAACCCTACCAGCAACCACCGTCGCCATGGCAACGTATGATTTTTATCGCCAGTCTTGTTTACGATTTCATTGGTATATTACTTTTGTAATAATTGTTAACAGTACTAGTCTTATCTTACCTCCATCACAAAGGACGGACGGTGTGCAGTTCTCGGACTCTCATCACTAGTAGATCACGCCATGGCCAGGGCCCGGATGTGGGTTCCATTTACAGTGTTGATTGCTGCTGTGATGATTTTCCTTACGGTAGTTGTTTTTCTTTAACTCTTCCCATGGCCAGGTAAATAGTAATCAATCTCAACTGCTTTAAAAAACAAACACTGAACCTCGTTTTATTATGATAAAGTGCAACTTCAACCACACTTCAAAGAGCGTTCATGTTAGCGCGTTTGAACATAAACTTTAAGGAACGTCAATCATGTTGGAAGTGTAATTTCAGGCACTTTCCACCCACTATAGGACTTAAATGTGGATGTGGCGCTGTGTATTTTGCTGAACAGGTCCAAAGGACTATAACCAAATATGTGTGGAGTAGCAAAAAATGTGCATAGAAACGCCTAAATTTGTTATTTATTTATTTATTGTTTGAATCAGGCAGAGCCCATAGACAACACAGTACACATAGATCTAAAAATGAACACATTGACTACAATGACTAGGATTAAAAAAAGCCCGGGAGGAGGCCTATCTATGGTCTACGGACCAACTGGCAGTATCGCCGCACTACCGTCACTTTGTTTTTATTTTCTTATTTTACTTTCTGTTATACAGACTTCAGAATTCCAGTTTCTGCATTGGCCGAATGCTGAAATGCCATTGGCGTCTCCAAACAAGGCGACTGTTATGTCTCCAAACAAGGCGACTGTACGTGTGACGTCTCCAAACAACGCGACTGTACGTGTGACGTCTCCAAACTACGCGACTGTGACGTCTCCAAACGACGCGACTGTGACGTCCCCAAACAACGCGACTGTGACGTCTCCAAACGACGCGACTGTGACGTCTCCAAAAAACGCGACTGTGACGTCTCCAAACAACGCGATTATGACGTCTCCAAACGACGCATCTGTGACGTCTCCAAACAAGCCGACTGTATGTGTGACGTCACCAAACAACGCGACTGTGACGTCTCCAAACAACGCGACTGTGACGTCACCAAACAACGCGACTGTGACGTCTCAAAACAAGCCGACTTTGACGTCTCCAAACCACGCGACTGTGACGTCTCCAAACGACGCGACTGTGACGTCTCCAAACGACGCGACTGTGATGTCTCCAAACAACGCGACTGTGACGTACCCAAACGACGCGACTGTGACGTCTCAAAACAAGCCAACTTTGACGTCTCCAAACGACGCGACTGTGACGTCTCCAAACAACGCGACTATGACGTCTCCAAACGACGCGACTGTGACGTCTCCAAACAAGCCGACTGTATGTGTGACGTCACCAAACAACGCGACTGTGACGTCTCCAAACAACGCGACTGTGACGTCTCCAAACGACGCGACTGTGACGTCTCTAAACAACGCGACTGTGACGTCTCCAAACAACGCGACTGTGACGTCACCAAGCGACGCGACTGTGACGTCTCCAAACGACGCGACTGCAACGATCACGTGTCCAAACAAAACAAACGCGGTCGTTTTGAACAGAGACCAGGGCTTCTATCACCTAGGAGACGTTCTCACCGTAAGGGTCGTGGCGAGAGACCAAGAAGGAAGGCCGAAGACGTACGGAGGAGACTTTTTCCGTGCCAGACTCGTCAGCAGTGACCGCTCGATACTGGCAAGTAGCGCCGGTCACGTCACGGACCACCGTAACGGCACATACACGGTGCAGTTACCGCTCTACTGGGCAGGGAACGTTTCGGTGAGTTCAGTGACATGACTTCGTTGTTGACAAAGTGAAGCTGTCGGTTACAAGCGGCAATTTTGCTGTTATATCTAACCCTCAACAGAACGCCTTCCCGGACTGATTAATCTGTACACCTGGGGTCCGCGCGGACCCCAGAACAGTTTTTTGCTAAGTTTAGAAATTATCAACATGCTACCAGCTTAATTGTTTTGCAAAATGATGTGTGAACCTCTATGTCCACATTACGTACAAAAATCATGCATTTTCAACTTTTCTTATTTTTTGGTGAAGAAAAGAAGAAATAACCAATTTTAAGCCCTATTCAGGCCGAAGGGGCTTTTCAGGCCCAACTTTAATCTCAGATAGCGCCTGAACGGCTAGCTCTAGAGGCATCAAATTTGTAAAAAAAAAAAAAATCTTTAGAAACAAAAAAGATATTACAGAATATATAGTGCTGGGGTCCGTGCGGACCCCAGGTGTTCTGTTTAGGTTTAAAACGTCTTCCAAGTCTATATACCTACTGCACATATCGTCATTGTCCGTTTTCCTCGGTAAATTGTTTTTTAAATTGAGCTTGCTCAGATTTTCTTGTGCACATAAAGAAATCTTAAAATTACAGCAACATCTGTTTACTCTTGTTGAGCCAGGGAAACACATGTAGCTTTTTTTTCTACACAATGTCAACTCTACCCGTGCAACTACTTTACCTGATATTTTGTTTTATATCAGATAAAGATCCAGCTTGTTCATCCAAGCGAGGCAGTGAAGGTTCTACAGAGAGTCCGAGAAATTCCAAACAAGAGAATTTTCTACTGCATCTTCGTCGACCCGAATAACACGAAGGCCTATTATACAAGGCAATGTTTCAGTTCTGCTAACCCCAGCCTACCATCCCACCAACAGTGCGACCTCTCAAAGCCGGAGGTGAACGGGACCTGGATTTGTAAGAAGCCGGAAAAACTTCCGTGTTCCACCGTCTCAAAGTGTTGGTGGGACTCGGGCAGGAGCAGGACAAATGTGCTGGGACTTGTTACCAACGAGAATAAGAACATTTTCAAAAAGTAAGCCATTCATTCTTTTCCCTCGTCCTTTGGCTAAGTTCATACATATTGTATACATCATGTAATGCTATCGATGTAATACGAATAATGAAGTTATTGACATACAGTTACGCGTCACCCATCTTTGCATATATAAATACACTGCTACTACGATAAACGCACAAAGCTGTTCAACCTTCTCTCCGCTTGCTCAACAGAATTTGTTACATTTTCATGCTACAGATAAATTTAATTTCATCACAGAAGGTAATAACCCTTACTGTGTACAGTTAGGTAAATATATCAAAGAATGTTTAGACCTTAGAGCAAGAAGTTTTAGTTGATATATAACGCTTTGTACGTAGGTTAATTTTGTTGCATTGTACCCATGTATTGTCTGTATGTCTACATGTAGTTAGACATTACGAAAGTCGCTGTATACGTACTTTTGTTGCGTCAATTAAGTTCTTCTTTTGTTACGTCATCCTTCGTACAACTGGGGTTCTGAAGAATGCAGCGCAGGTCAGTTTTAAGTTCACAATGTTCATTTCCATGCCACACAGGCCATATCTTGAAGAGGAACTTGAAGTGAACCCCAAGGAGCCCATACATGTTCTTGAGGCAGAACCGTCCACATCTCAACACATTCCAGCGTGTACCTGGGACAAGTCTGCAGCTTTGGGACATTGGTCAGGCAAGGTCTGGACGTCATCCGTCTGCAATGTCCGAGTGTTCACTAAGAAAGCCATCCAGTGGTGCCTGGCTAACAAGACCGTGTTCATGCAAGGTATATATATATATATATATGTATTACTAGTGGTCTTATAATCAACTAGAAAGGCCAATATTTGCTTTGGAGCAAATACAGCGATGGCTTCACCATATTTTACGACATAGCAGGGAAAGAATGAGAAACACAAGGGAAAACAATGATTTACTTTGATATAACTATAATATGAAGTAACATACAACTAAGACTACAACAGTTGGATAGCTATTCCCTACATTATTGGTTAGGATTTTTAATTGCATAAATTCAAATGCAAACTGTTGATTTTCAAAATAAATAAAAAAACGTTCATGCCACTTCAGACCAAACCATGGTGGACAGTCAACTTAACATGCTGCTTTCTCATATCTGTCCAGAAAACTAGACGGGTGCAACACAATGAAAAAGTGCTAAACGTTATAACTTATATATATAAAGTTCACCTGTATCCGTAGAAGTCATTATGAAACAAAATTGAACTGCAATTGCCAACACAAAAAAAATTGGACTCACCCAAATTTTCGACTGTACAACTTCAGTCTTCGTCAAAGAACGAACAATCCACCGCTTCTGTGACGTCACGCAGATAACACACGTGACTCCGTGAGCAGTGGTTCATAGAACCTTTTCGCACATCACAGCCGGAAAGCCACGTACTGAATCGAACGCTTTTCGAACGAGTTTTCTTTGCAGAGCGTATCACTCCGCCGTCCATAGCAACGCCGTTGCTAAAGACGACGTTTTCGCGGGCGGCGGGCTGAAATTTCATCCGAGTTGTTGACAGCCGATTACATCACCAGTTTCGGCCTCTGCATCAAGATGGCGGTACGTATCAGATGTGTATATCATGTGCTCTCTGTACTAACCATATTTGAGGGGTATTCTATGAGTTTTAGTGTAGTTTTGTGATCAAACTCGGTGTACAGTGAAATGAACAAAATGGCCGCCCTGGACTGATCTGAATTTTCGTCTCATTTGAATTTCGGGGGAAACCCGTTTCGCACTTGATTTTGCATATGACGATATGTGGATAAAATGTGTTGAACCTTTGGCTTTCTCCCATTATGAATATCCTGTTGGTGCGAAGTCTGCATATATTTGCAATTCCATGCCAACTGGGGTCACTTTTTTCTGCAATTTTATGGCTAAACCTCATCGTTTGTCGTTTGACTTTATTTCGGTCAATGTTGAATAATTTGCGTATATGTGCTTCATTTCTTGTAAACATCATGTTGGTGGTAAAATCGTTTCCGGTGAACTAATCTAGTCTAAGTTTAGACCAAGACTCGTAGTCGTTAGATCTTTACGAGGACAGATTGAATTCTAAATACTGTAGTTAATGTTGTACTTGAGTCTTATCGATCACGAACTTTGTAAAAGAAATCATCCCTTCTGTGTGTGTTTGTGCAAAGAATTCCCGCCAACTTTATCACGTGATGTCTGGTTGTCATACAAGAACAACAAAGCTGCATGACTGCTGCAAATTGTTACAATGTCTTGTCATAGTGTCTAAAGTTACAGCAAGACAAGTATTGTACCTTCTATCTAGTGCTCGATGATATTAAAAAGACAGTGCACAATATACATGTTTAAATGCAGCTTGTGACATTTGTAAAAATTATAAATGGTTGAGCATGTATATCAGTGATTATTAAAATAAAGCTAACATTCATTTCAGTATTGAATTAGGAAAAAGATGTCAAGGGGAATTTTTATTTCTGTTTCAGATCATCCTAGGCTTCACCGACTGTAAAATTGGTAAGTATCTGGCAAACCATGTCAAACTCTCTCCTGGCATCTTTAAAAAAATTAGTAGGAAAATTTAAAGAAAAAGTTCAAGGACAAGGACAAAGTGGGAATGCAATCAGGTTATACAGTCACTTACTTTGATAACAGCCCCACTTGACACTTAACACTAAACAAGTACAACCAATACAACTAAGAATAAAAGAACAAAATTGTGCTAGTGTTGGAGTTTGAGGAAGACCCTAGCCCCTAAAATCTACCTCAGATAGCATTGCACCAGGTTTCTTGTAAGGTTGGAGAAATCTTTTTCGAAAGTAAACCAATACTTCTTGTGGATGCCTGTGATCTTTATGTAGAAATGTAAACGAGTTAAAGACAAGATTTGAATGTAAAAGTCAAAGTGGACTTAAATGATAAAGGAAACTTTATTTTGGTTCACAAAAGTTCTAAAACCAAACATAGTTTAATGTTATACTATAGATATTGTTATATTATAGAATCTCTTCATTTAGTATTGTATTCTGCAAGAGTTAACTCTCCAAAATATGATCAAGAGTCTAGTTTTGCTTCTATGCTAAAAGGTTTAAAGGATAGTATCAATTCTGGCACCTGGCCATCCTTTTTATATATGAATACTATTATTCATCAAGAATCCTCCAAATTTATTCCATTTGATAAATACCAACCCCCAGCATGAAAGTGACCTGTTCCAAATTTCTAAAGAAAAAAATCCTGTTGTTTGCAATTTTATTGTTGTGTTAACTATGCAAAAGTATGAAATTTCATTTTCTGATTTTGAAACTTTGGACATTTCTTTATAGCTCTAATTTTTTAGGAGACTTTTTCACGTCTTCCATAATTTTTTTTGTCTCTGAAGGCCAGTGTAGTTATCCTTTTCATATGATAGATTATGCATTGATTTATTCCTATAGCCAATCTGATGATTTAATGCAATTAACTCTGAAATTGCCTTGGTGAGAGTTATTTTAGTGATTCTCATAAACATTTATTTCTGGGGTTTTGGATAAATTGACTTTGGAAGAGTTTGCATAGCTTGACAAAAGATTCTTTTACTGTAACTTCAATATAGTAGACAACATAAATAGTGGTAGCCCCTATGCAATTGTTACTGGAAGTCCCAGTGGGTGGATTGGGATTTCTATACAAGCTGTACAGTCCAAATCTAAATTACTTATTTCTTCTATGCCAACTTCAACATTTCATTCTGAATATTTTAATTTAGTCCATATTGATCAAAATTGGGAAATTCATGATGGTTCAGAAAGACTTTTAACTAGTGAGGATCAGGATGTTAATTTCATAGATGACATTTACATAGGCAGCTTGTCTGCATTGAATAACATTTCAGATTCAGAATTCTCTGATGTTGATAAATGAGTGAATTGGGTTTAATTTGGTGTCATATCATTCTTAATGATTTTTTCTTATTCTTCCATCTTGCAGGTGAAAGTCATGCCCAACAGGATTGTCACCAGCAGGATACCAGGATGTTATATTTAGCTTGAGATTATGGATATATATATGACAAGATGTATTCTGTACAGAGATCTTAATTCCCATTTATTTTGTTTATTGTAATGTTAATACATTTGGGAGCGTATTTAATATTCGATTCAGCATCCAATGTCTACTCTAACTTTCAAGCATGTGTTAAGTAATATATGTACTGTAAAAGATCCACAATGTAATGAGACTTTGATATCACAAGTATTTGATATCCCAATCCACAACAAAATGTACTACTTCGTTATTTGGTAATGAGATAAATGTTAAAGCAACCTTAATGGCTCTTTGGTAATTTTGTGTATATTTGATTAATCAATATAAAGGACAATTAACATGTATGTGAGAGAGATATGTTTAGGGATTTCCCAAGGCCCAGCACTTTTAGAAATAAACAAGTGCTACTCTGTAAAACTAGGGACATGAGGACCTGTTATCTTATTACAGTAAGCAGTACACATGGACTATACATGTAGATTGGATATAACAGATCCAGGATAAACTTACCAATAATCACAACATACAATGTACATGTTGCACTGTCCTGATTAGGGACCATAATTGTTGGGTTATCTTCCATAGGCTACATTTTACTGAACCAGCAGGTGGATACATGTAACTTTTCTAAAGTAACTGTATAAACCCAGTGCCATTCAAATCGAGAAAAACGGATACAATTATTATTCTTTGAATTACCCCAATCATAAATCAATGTGTGAGGTATTCTAGTTCTAATGGTCCGCTTGCTATAATTAATTTTTCAAAGGTCAGGAAGCTACGAGAGTATAATGTTTCCCCGCGTTTAGGCAGACGCTGGTTTCGAGTTTTCAGATCGGCCGTAGCTATCAAGGGACCAGAAACATATATTCTCAGTGCAAAATCAAAAGAACCTGTTTAGATATGAGATGAATTAACACCCAGTGTGGTCTAACTAAAAGTAGTTTAGACATAGATAGACAATAATTTAAATCTAGCGATGTATGGTCATGTATAGGACATGTAGGAGAGGAGCGCGCTCCGTAGAACACACGTAGCTTAGACACCGTACCGGCGCGCCAGGGATGCGCGTTCTATTTGGTGTAAATTTCTGCCTTTTCCTGTAACATGGCCTGACGGAATTTCGGGGGAAACCCGTTTCTCCCTCGAAATCAAAAGTAAGTCAACTACTATCAGAAAGTTTAAGATTTGCTCTTTCTCAGCCAACAAATTTCCTGTTGGCGCGAAATCTGCATCAAGGCGAAAATACACGGGGAAATTGCACTAAAATTGCTTGCCTACTCCCGTGACATGGCCTTACCGAATTTCGGGGGAAACCCGTTTCGCACTCGAAATTGAACATAAGTCAAATATCATCAGAAAGTTTAAGATTTGCTCTTTCTCAGCCAACAAATTTCCTGTTGGTGCGAAATCTGCATCAAGGTGAAAATACACGGGGAAATTGCACTAAAATTGCCTAGTTTCAGGTCATGATATCGAAAGGGGAAAGGTACATTCTCGGCTCCAAAATTCATTGGGAGCAAATTAGGAAGGCTAAATATTATCAATAAGTTACAATAAGGAAGATATGTGATTGTATAATCCCGCGGTAAGCTTTCTTGTGAGGCGAGTCGACGCCCGGAGCCGTGGAACGGACTACTTTCTCTCGCGGAAGGAAAAGAGAAACGCATAGAACTCTCGACGTGGCTTTCCGGCTGCATCAGGGCATTGAATGCCCTGATGTGCGAAAAGGTTCTATGAACCAATTGAAGCTATCCCTGAACATAGACGGGGGGGCGCCACATACTCTCTTCAACCTATGATCCACTGCTCACGGAGTCACGAGTGCCATGTGTCCATATATATAGCCCAAAATAAGTACTGCATCTCTGTTTCTTTACCTTCGCAAGATGGTTACTGTGTATTTTGGTATGTGTGTACAGGTATATATATGGATTTATCGTTAGTTTAGAAGCTTGCTCTGGATCCGGAAAGTCGAATTCAGGGGCTTTTATTTGAGAACTGATTGACGAATCGTCGTGACTTTTCATTGTAAGTGATCCTTGATATAAGTAGATGGCAATTATACGACCAGGATCTAATTTGCATAACGAATGAGGAAATTCTATAAATGATATGACCCAAGATTGGCCTAGGGCCTAGGGTAATTCAAACTTGCGACGTATGTAAATGAGTATGATATAACATCGGCATGTGTTGATTATGTAACGTTGAATAAATGCCCCTAATTCGAATGATTAATGAGAAAATGCCACTACCTTGTGTCGCCCCTTTCCCAGAAAAAAAAACTAACGCCCCCGCTGCAGTCTGCGAAGGAGGCTAAAATGCTTTAATTTTGTATTAAAGGACACAGCAGGTACATTTTATGGATGACATTCTCTGCAGACTAAAAAAAAGGCGGGCCAGAAATCAAGATTCCTACATTTTCACATTTTTTTCATTATTTTTAAACCTTGTGAAACGAGAAATGATACCCAAATTGCGATAAGTTTACTGCCAACTATTACAGCATCCATTTCTTACTGGCCCAACTTTGAAAAATAAAAGTTTTAAATCGATCATTGTAAGAATGGTTTTGATTTAGTGGGAGCATCACACAAACACAGTCACCATCACATATAGAAGGAATGAAATCACTGCATCAAAGTAAAATTTTAAACACAAAACATTAAATTAGAGCCTATCCTCCTCAGCTCTTAATTCCTTAATATATTTATCTGCCATCCACGTCGGCCGCATGGCAAATATGAAGAGGGGGAGGCATAATTTCTAGCTAAATTTCATCTCGTTTATTGCAAAAAAAAAATCTAACCTTAAGTTATACAGAATGTGGCGTCTCAAAAACAAAATCTAACGTTACTTTGCAGGGAGAGAAGAACACTGCCCTGGCGTCCCCTATTGAAAGAGTGGACCATTCCGTGATGTCACTTCCGGTATAAACACATTTGGCGCGGTTCTGGCCTGGGCATGACTTCATACAACAACTGATCAAGGCACAGATCTGTACCTCGCACAGTCTTAGATCTGAATTATCTACATTACTAAGGTTTTTAGCAGTTGAAGGTAAGGAACAACCAGTCAGAAAGTCGGTACTAGCTTAGCTGTACAGCTATATTGTCGATTTGACGAGCTGTCTTTTATCAAGGAGGGAGGGGGGCGTAACTCATATATCATGGAACGTTTCATATTTTTGTGTGCACTACTAAAATGTTAAAACGTTGTGCTTGGAAGCAAAACATGCAAGAAAGAGTGACATCGTGGCAAATGGGCAGCCAGTCAAAATAAAGAAACGAGAGTATAGTTTTGCACCTCAAAATATGACAGCCAAACCGTCACGCCTACTTCATAATGTATATTTTGTTGACTAACTTGTTACAGAAAAAAATTAACCACCTTTTTGTTTCCTTTGAGATGTAACGTTACATGTATTTGATATGATATAAACATAGACAATTTTGATATTTAAATACAAAAATAGAAATGCCTATACATACATATATATATGTTACTACATATTGTATTCGAATATCAAAATTGTTTACGCCGATGGAAATTAAATGAATTTTATTATTATTGCATTATATGTAAAGTGAAATCGTGTACATAATATTTAAGAGTCATTTTTATATCTGTGTCATGTAGATTACATTAATGTGTACTTAACACTGTTCCACCCCCCTACATTTGTACCCCCTCCGACAGACTGTTACCATGGCAGCAGCCCCCCAGTGGTCATACGAGCGAGCGTGGGGGGAGGAGGAAGAGGAGGGGGAGCAGGAGGATGCACAGGTATCATCACGTTAACTTTGCACAATGTGCTGGCACAGCTCCAATTTTAACTTCACTAAGACACTTTGTACAACTTTCCCCACTTCACTTAGGTGAAAATGAGTACTAGTACTTGCATAACTCTGGTTAGGGACGTCCCTCAGATAGGAAGTAAATGGAGGTCCCGTGTTTGAGATTCCACCACAACTTTCAGAAAAGTAGGTGCATGCCCCGGTGTGCAATGGTCCAATAGTCCTACTGTCTGTATGTAGGTGATTCACCTCTACTAGTAGTCACCCATACAGAGTCAGAGGTCTAGTATCAGCTAATATGGCAGAATGATGAGTACTAGTATGATGCATACTAGTACTAGGTATGATCATGGGAGAACAAGACTGCTTGTGTCAGTGGTGAAAATTATCTAACTGACCACCCCATAGGCGGCCACACTGACCAGGAGATCTTTATGTTGAGTTGTTGACAATTACATCTCTCCCCCAGCCTCGGTGGTCCAGTCTGAGAGACAGTCTGATCTTCCTGATCGACTGTTCAGCTTCCATGTTCCAAGAAGAAGAAGGAGAGGAGGGCTCTGCCTTCCACAAATGTGTCAAGGTAAGGGCAATGTTGTACATGTATCTCAGCCACATTATAAAGTTAAACACAGTTAGAGATAAGCATTCAGAACAAATAGCTCTTTACAGGTTCAACTCTTCACTTCTTAAGGCAGTTGTAGATGTATAAACATACATGGAGCTTACATTGTATGATACATATCTAATTTAATTTCCTAAAACCAGCAAGAACAGTTACTCAAGTTGCTTCAGGATTGATTGAGTATCAGTAACTGTTGCTTGGTATATGATAAATTGTAACTGTTATCTTGTGTATCTTATTAGCTGGATGCCATACATGTAGATGCAACAAATAGAGATAGCAAATGTAGGATTATAGGAATACCAAAATTCAAAAGCCTTACATGTCATTGACTATATATACTGTACATGTATGTGCATTTGTCACATTTCATAAATGTAAATTTGCTAAAAGTAACATTCTGTTTTTTGTCTTCCCAGTGTGTTCACAGTGCCATGAGGAACAAGATCATCTCCAATGACAGGGACCTGGTCGGAGTCGTCTTTTTTGCTACAGTGAGTTTTTTTATTATTTTTTTTATTGATTTGTCACATGAAGTCCATGTCCAATTCTCATTATAAGGCCACACCAAGTAAATTTTATGGATGACGTCCTTTGGAGACCCTAAATCTAATGCGAGAGGGCGAAAAGAAAACAAGAAGGGCCCTAAAAAACAAGATGCCTAGATTAGAAATATACTAAGAGACGACAAACGTTAGGACACAAATTGAATGAGGTGACACAGTGTAACAAGCAAGAAGTCTTTTACTCATCATCAAAACAGCAATAAATCAGGTGGAACAGCAGTTGTCGTCTTGTGCTTTGGGGAGATAGATGGAGCAGTTAGCAAGTTTCTTCAAATGTGGCAGCATGTACCAAACTGAATTCCTAAATCATGAATTCCTAAAGGAAGTAATGATTTCCTTGCTTGATGCTTCATAAGCTTTGGTCCGTACAAACCTATTTGTGGCACTGTCGTGACTCTTTGGTAATAGTTACAGGAAGCAGAATTTCTTGTTTTTTTTCTAGGAACAGGCCAAAATCAATGCGCGCGCGGACGTCATCCATAAAATTTACTTGGTGTGGCCTAAACGGTATTGCAATTTAGGTTGTAAGGATGCAAAAATGTACACTTTAACTGTTCATTTAAACTTTCTCTCTACTTTTGCAGAACAAACACAAAAACCAGAGTGACTTCAAGCATGTCTACATATTCCAGGTTTGTCTTCAGTCTGAATCATCAGATAATACACCATGTAAATAGTGATATCATTTTTGAGGACAACATGTTCTCATGTGTTGGTAAATGCATAAATGCATTTTGTACAAAATGTATGTGTTTGAAAGATTTCTTTTTGAACAGGAAGCTCATGATTTAGAAATAAGGAAATGCAAATTGTCTATATCTGTGCTCTCACAAAAGTTGCTGGTCAACCAAATACATGATATACAATCATATAGAATACAACACGGGGTATTCCGTATTGCCCGAGGTATCGATCCGACTCGCGGGAGGGCCGGGACCGAGGGCGATGCGGAATACACTGTGTTGTATTTTATTTATGTCATACCCACCCAAGAAAATGCGCCTTTCAATGCAAGATGAGCCAAAAGTTGTAGCCACTAAACCCTAAAATGCAACAACATCTATTCCAACGTCCGGATTCTGTATTCGAATTTTCGAAATGGGCACAAGCGGGTAGGGCGAAACGCGTTCGAATTGTTTTATGGAAGCGTTCATTAACGGGTTCCGGACCAGGCCGTACCGTAAAGTACGGCCTGGTCCGGAACCTGTTATCGAACGTTATCGCGGTCCGGGTATGATATAAATGTACGTACACTGCTGCAGTAACAGTTCCAGTGTACATGTACAGTATATCTATACATGAAAGTTATCATCCAACATGTACAATGTTATGTCTCTGTACAATTATCCAACCTCCTCAGGACCTGGAAGTTCCTGGTGCTCAGATGATTCTCGAGCTGGAAGAGATTTTTGAAGGTGAAAATTTGCTTTTCAGTACCTGGTGTTATTAATGTGCTTGTTGTATTTAGCCTCTAAGTCAATATTTTCACCGATGTACATGTAGTAGTGTAGTGGCCACTGTATACTATTAAAGGGTTAATGCACCGCCCCGAGGTGTATATGGTGTCATAAATGCATGGTCAGCTGCTATAACCACCGAATAAACCACCGAGTGAGCGAAGCGAACGAGGTGGTTTATGAGGTGGTTATAGCAGCTGACCATGCATTTATGACACCATATACACCGAGGAAAAGGCGGTGCATTAACGTTATTATCATATAGCCTATCCAAACTGACACAATGAATCAACACAATTCCTGTTCAAAACATTAAACCTTTAATATTTACATAACAATACATTCCAAAATATTATAATCATGGTTTGTACTTTAAAATAAATATGGAGATCATTTTACAATAAATATAGTTTACAACTTTACACTTTAGAATTGTTTCTTTTGCAGCATTGCAACTGGCAACAGATCATTTTACAAGATTCTCTGAACAGCATGGCAACAAACAATCATGCTGTTTTGTTTCTTAAACTTTAAGTTAAAGTGGAAGTAACATGGTACGTTAAAGTTCACATAACCGCTAAAAACATGCGACAACTGAGACATACATGTAGACTGCATATCGTAAAACCATTCGATATTAGCCTGTCGATATTACAGTAACAATAACATTAGCAAAACAAATGTAATTCTATTCCTGCTAATCACTTGAAAAAAGAACACACCCACCTTTCAAAAGCTTCACTCCCCACTTGGTTGCCCTTTCAGTAGTTTTTTCAACTCGCCCCTCCTCTATCTCGCCAAGTTGTTGTTCGTTCAGACACGCGAAACGCACCCTGCTGACCTCTGTCTCCGGTGTAGCTTCCAGCGTCTGTTCCTCGACCTCCATGGGTCCAAATATCTCATCTAAATCCGCGTCTGTTATCTCTTCCATGTAGAAATTAGGCAAACTCTCCATGACACAAGAAGGCAAGATGGCGGACCAAAAAAATAAATCGTCTGATCCCTGGCAGGGTTGGACAAGTTTTCAAAAATCCACTTGCCTTATCGGGCAAGTACATGGTCATTTCCACTTGCCCGAACCAACTTTTTACTTGCCCAAAATACGACACATTTCTATGCATTTTACTAGCAGAAAGAGTTTATAATGTTGGATGCTTTATTTATCAAAATTGTTTAAAACTTGGTTAAAATACTGCTGGGGATAAAACTTTGCATCCAAAAAATGTACTTGCCCAATCGGGCAAGTACTGGGGGATATTTACTTGCCCGAACAGTGCTTTTACTTGCCCTGGGCAAGTGGGCAATGGGACTTGTCCAACCCTGCCTGGTCTGATTCAGTCAGGTGATGTGGGCGATACCACTTTTTGTAGGGGTGTCAAAATAAGTATGGTTTTTGCTCTCCCGTTCAAATTCTATCTATTTACATATACATTTCATACTCACACACATTTTAGTTTATATGAAGCTTAAAAAAAACATAATTTTGTCTGACCAGGAAACTGCTATGAATATTAACAGAAAGAGCTGTGTACCCCTATATCATTATGGTTTCACCCATGGTTTATGGAGAATAACGCACGGCTGAGCCATGGTTTATCGGAGAATAAAGCACGGGTAACGGAGGCCTCTGATTGGTCTACGCCACCCGGCTATATGATAATACTGTTTAAAGTTACTGACTGTCCAAAATGGAATTCCAACAAATTATAATTAAACTCAGTCTACTTTCTTTTCCTTCACTCACATTTGCCTGCACTCACATTTATAAAACATGAATGGTTGGTTAAAAGGGCCATAGAAATCTTGAATGCCAAAACTTCTATAGTCCAGTTTGTTATCATTGAATGTGCTTGGTTTGCTTAGGCCTTGGGAAATGTGTTTCAGCCCTGAAAAAATTAGGGTTGGTATGTAAGAAAATCTTTTTTCTCTCCTTTTTTTAGACTTCGGCGGTCTCTTCTCTAGTGGTCCAGCTTGTACAATGCAGGTTAACAATTTTGAAAGTAAAACTTGCATGATAACACTTACATGTATATTTTCAATGTCATGATCACTCAATGTTGGAAAACCGAGTGTAACATCCGTGTCCATAATATCACCAGGGTCCATAATATCGCCACCTTGAGAAATAGTGTGCTTTAAGATATTTTTACTGCAACATACGTACCCTAGGTATGTACATTTGAGGTGGGCAGGAGTGCATACCAAAAGTATGTTGCAGTAAAAATATCTGAAGCACACTATTTCTCAAGGTGGCGATATTATGGACCCTGGTGATATTATGGACACGGATGTTACAATGTTTCATCACTCAGGTGTCAGATCATGGAGCTAGAAAAGGTTGATCAGCTTGAAAAATGTATGTCCCTTGCAGGGGTCCACTAAAAATGGCTTAGGGTGGGCAGTTTTTTCTAGGGTTGTTCGGGAAACAGGAAATACATTTTTTTTCTTAGGCCTCACAAAAGTTTCTCATTTTGCAGAGGATGGAGTTGAGAGGTTTGAGGAGGAGTTTGGACATGGCACAGATTTCTCCATGAGTGAGGTTCTGTGGAACTGTTCCAACATGTTCTCTACATGGTAAGTCAGGGCTTGAAATAATTTTTTTCTTCATACTAGCACTTGTGGAGTCAACATTGAAAATTACAAATGTACCTGCACCAGACAAATTTTTACCTGCACCACACAGAACTCAGAAGTTATGCAGCAAGTTTAAACTGTAATTTCCAACACAACAAATTGGACTCACCCAAATTTTCGACTGTACAACTCCAGTCTTTGGCAAGGAATGAGCAATCCACAGCTTCCGTGACGTCACGCAGATAACACACGTGACTCAGTGAGCAATGGATCATAGGTTGCAGAAAGTCTGTGGTGCCCCCCGTCTCTGTTGAGGGATGGTTGTAATGCCCTGATGTAGATTGCCTCTTTAATCCCTCGTCTGTACAACTCCAGTACTAGTCTTGACAAAGACTGGAGTTGTACAGTCAAAAATTTGGGTGAGTCCTACATGTATTTCTTGTGTTGGAAATTAAAGTATAAACTTGCTGCATAATGTACCAACACAGATGAACTTTCAAGATAACAGAACTTATAAGGTTTGGATCTAACTAACCATTGCCGTGCTTTTTCATACTTCGTAGGTGGTGGTAACACTCTATGCTGGAAATAGATATACACCTACATGTACATGTATTATATAAATCGGGCAGTACATTGACCAGTACAGGTCATATGCAGGTGGACATCTGAAGTACCTATATTTTGATACTGTATTTTATTTTTTTTTGTAACTACTAAGTCCAACTTTTTATCTGTAAAAAAAGATATTTAACATTCACTTCATAATCTTCTAAACAGTAGTATTCAGCAGGGTATTCAGTTACCACAGTACTTTTTTTTTCAGAAAGTTTTCAAAGATGGGCTATACTGATGAAGTAAAAAACATTAATAAGATAGAGTAATTATTGGCTATTGTTTTGATAAGTGTTTGTTCACCCAGCACACAGAAACTTGGTCACAAGAGGCTCCTTCTCTTCACAAACAACGATGATCCACATGCTGGGAACATCAATCTTCAGGTAAGGCCTAGAAAAAAAAATGTTGTTTTTCCTGTTTCCCGACCGAACCTAGAAAAATCTGACCCTAGACTTTTTTTGGGGGTGGACCCCTGCAAGGGACATAAAATGATTAATTTCTGGAGCTGATCAAACTTTTCTAGTTCAACTTTGTCTTACAAATGTACTTGAACCAATTCCTGAGTAAAGAAATGTTGTATAATTGGTTTTCTAACATTGACATTGAAAATAAAAGTGTCCTCATGCAAGTTTGACTTTGTTAAACTGTATTGTATAAGACTAGTATACTATTCACACTGCGTAATCACTGGATCATCCTTAATGAGTTATGGAGCAGTGCCGGAGTCGCGCGATGAAAACAAGTCCCTTCATATCCACTTATTATTATCAGGGTGGGGTGTGGGGGGGAATCAAAAATGCCTGCTGTGTTCAAGCTGGCTTCGACCTTCTTCCCGCCCACTGCTTCAGGGACCCATCTCCACCGCACTCCCCGGAGGGCGGATGTTTCCAGTAAATGCGCAATGTGAATGGGCTATCAGCCCCTTATATGGGGTGTAGTGACGTCATTGGCGGATTGATCCAATAATTAAGCAGTGAGAAAAGTTGTATAGATATCACTGAAGTCTATAAAAAATAGTTACTTCTTCTGTAAATGATTAACAGATTTCAGATACCATACAGTGCAACTTTTTCACATCCTTTTACTCACAGTCCTTGTACAGGCTTTAAAAGATACAGTAAGATGTTGTATTTATGGTGCTTTTAGCGTCAGGCCAAGACCAAAGCCAAGGACTTGGAGGGACTAGGAATCAACACTGAGCTTCTCCACATGAACAAACCTGGGGGAGAACCCTTCGATATCACCAAGTTTTACCAGGTACATGTAGATCTACATGTATAAGCATTGTCATCATATTAGACTTTATGTCATACCTGGGCCGCGATTACGTTCGGCTTTCTAATGTTTCATAGAACGATTTGAACGCGTTTCGCCATAACCGCGTGCACCGCTTTCAAAGATTCAAATACAAAAGTCGGACATTTGAATTGATGTTGTTGCTTTTTTGGGTTTAGGAACACCAAATTTTTGCTCATTTCGCATTGAAAGGCTGTTTTTCTTGGGTGGGTATGACATAAATAAAATACAACACGGTGTAACCCTCGGTCCCAGCCCTCCCGCGGATCGGATCACCCTCCGGCCTTCGGGCGATCCGACCTGCGGTCAGGCTGGTACCTCAGGCAATACAGAATACCCTGTGTTGTATTCTACATGTATATGTACAACTTTTCACTGTATAGCTTCATGTACATTTTGTACATGGTGTATGTATTCCATATCACTGGGGCAGCCTGTTGGCAGCATGTATGATAACTGTTAGAGCCCTATGTGGTAGTTATCACACGGGCCAGAACACCATTATCAAACGTTACTGCAGTGCAGCTATGATATAATTAAAGAATCTAATTCTATGCCTGTTGTTTTTCCCACTATCAGGACATTATAGTCATCCCAGAGGATGAGGACGTCACCTGTCTCCCTGATCCTGCTGCCAAATTTGAGGAACTCCTGGAAAGGCATGTATCCTGTGTACATGTTAGAGAATACTTAAACCTTTACTCTTGCCACTGATATATATTCTACACATAATTAGCCGCAGACATACTGTATATTCTGTATGTAGGATGACGTTATGTACAAATGTACATGTATTTAGCTTTGTTAGATAATAAGTTGTAGAGGACCATACAAAAGTCCCTGTGTACTTCTTATTGAGTCAATAAAGAATTTTTATTATACATTGTACATGTCAGGGTAGAGACGCTGATCTCATAGAATCAAAAGTTACAAATGTTCTTGCAGGGATTCTGATCACAGTCTCTGTCAACAGAATCTTTAATCTGCTTAATATCTGTTTGTAGAATTGATGATTCTTTTGATGCTGTACAATGTATGATACTGAACACAATTACAAAATTAAAATCACAATTAGTGTACCAGAAGATACTCTGATCGGGATCTTTTAACTGACAGACACTCTGATCGGAGTTTCTGTCGATAGATCCAGACACTCTGATGACAATCTCTTACCAGTAGAATCACTGATTCTACCAGATTGGAGTCTCTATCCTGAAGCACGTTTGCATATTATAGTTCAGTAAGAAGATTTTAAACACTGTATTGTACAACCTCTGTTATCTTCATTTTCTTGATACCTTTTTTTGTCAGCAAAGTTTGAAGATCATCAGTGCTTTTGTGTTCATGCAATAATGTTATGAGGTTAATCTTTAATGACTTCTCCCTTTTTTGTGCATGTACATGTATAGGGTTCATTGTGTTCAATGTCTTCATATTCCTTAGATTTAGAGTACAAAATCAGTAAGGTTATCAGAGTGTAATTTTGACTGACTACTTTTTGCTTGTTTTGTGTGTGTGTAGGGTCCGTTACAAGGAGCACAAGAAGAGGACATTAGCACGAGTCCCTCTCAGTCTGGGGGAAGGTCTGGAGTTTGGAGTGGGAATGTATGACGGATTGTACAATGTGTTTATACTTCAGATTTAGAGTACAAAATTAGATATATCTTGCACTCAGGCACGAAATACTTAACATTAAAAATTACTGCATCAGACAAATTTTACCTGCAGCAATTTAGGGAGTGTGGACCTTGCTAAAACTGTTCAAAAACCATTGCCATTGAAGATTTCCATCAGTCAGACTACAATGTAGGTATAAGCATGCAAGTCTTAAACTGGGGCCCACAGGGAAAAAAAAAGACGAAGAGGTCAACCCAAGATGAATCACATGCAAATGATCTAGAGGGACCTACAAATAGTAACATCTGTGTCCATAATATCACCAGGGTCCATAATATCGCCACCTTGAGAAACAGTGTGCTTAAATATATTTTTACTGCATCATACTTTTGGTATGCACTCCTTCACACATCAAATGTACATACCTAGGGTATATATGTATGTTGCAGTAAAAATATCTTTAAGCACACTATTTCTCAAGGTGGCAATATTATGGACCCTGGTGATATTATGGACACAGATGTTAAATCTGACCTACATGTACATGCATATTGTACAATGTATAAATATGTAGAGAGACTGGCCGTTAACCAAACATGCTAAAATGCTACGCCTAAGTAACTCTAAGGTTATCTAAGGTTATGGGCAGAAGTACTAAGAGCCTTTTTGTGTTTCTGTTTAACTCTCCTACAGCTACACGCAGGTCCGAGAAACCTACAAGGGAAAGAAAGTAAAGCTGGACGCCAGGACCAATCAGGAGGTCCGAACCATCACCAAGACTGTGGACTCTGTGAGTAACTGCAGATTAATTCTTATCTTGTAATTATTTCTTCTGTAGCTGTTTACCATAACAGGGATATCAGGGATGAACCAAGTAAAATATTAGAGTTGGGGGAGGGGCATTTTTTATGTTTACCGAAGGAAAACATTTTGTTTTTGCTACGTTTCTTCTTCCATTCCAAACAATGACCTCTGAGCTGGCCAATGACCTGATTTGTTGACGTCCGTTACCATGGTAACTGGTGTTGGGTTACATAATGTTGCAATTTTATAGCAGGAGGGATTTAAACTGACTCCTGTCTGACCATTATATATGAATGTATTTGAGTAAGAATTGACAGAGCAGACCATGCATATGCGAAGGTAAACATTATGCATTTGCTTTGCAAATGTTACCTTTCTAGTTATAAATCTTATTTTATCCGGAGATACATGCAACACTCTTTTACACATGTCCATTATGTGCTCTACTAAACTGCATGTTCAAGTACTGCGTCTGTATGAAACTGTATTTTACACAGTTTTTGTTGGATGTTTGGTCAACGTTGTATCCAAATGTTGCTTCTATAGCTAGCAGACGTTATCTTTTCTGACACAACATTTGAAAACTATAGACGGAATGTCATCCTTGAATACACAATAGAACCTCAAATGAGACGTTCTGCCAAAGTGCTATGCACAATACATTAAGGGTTTCATGCAGGCGCAGTATGTTCTGCAAAAAAAAAATGTACTTCTCACCTCCTATGGTATGCTCTTTATTATTGTGTCTTTTCTCACTCACAGTTGTTACCTCCATGAAAAATGGAGGTGTTGTTTTTGGCGTGTCTGTCTGTGTGTGTGTTTGTCCATGTGCTTGTGTTTCCAGACATTTGCGGCCAACATGACTTTTGAACCTTTGGATGGATTGTAATGATATTTGGTTTGTGGTTAGGTGTTGGGTAGGTCAAGGTCGATTTTGGGCCTCCTGGTGGATGACCTTGGTACTGTAGCAGAACTTCCGGTTTCTGTATCTTCTGTCTTGGACATGCTATGGTCTTGATTTTTGAGTGGTGGATAGCTTTTTCTGCCAGTAATACTGAGTGGTGTGGTTTTGTTTCCCCTAGCAGCTTGTTCTGGAACTGCAGGGGGTCAGAACTGTTGTTTATTTTTCTGCTCATCTGCAGGAGACAGGAAAGTTCCTGATGCCCAGCGATGTGAAGAAAGTGCAGTCATGGGGAGGGCGGGACATCGCATTCGAGAATGACGAGATCGTGGAAATGAAAGTGTTTGACAAGCCAGGTGGGATTTTTTTTTCAAACAGTATCATATTCTAATTTGGCATGTACCTGGCATTGCTTTTTTTATTATGATTACCGATTATTGTTTTTGCTCAGTTTCTTTTTCGTGTTCTTCATCTTCTCCAAACAGTGACCTCTGACCCGAACCAATATTGTGTCTGTTGCCATGGTAACTAGTGTTGGGTTACATCATGTTGCAATTTCATAGTAGGAGGGATTTAGACTCCTGTCTGACCATATATGTGATAAATGCGTTTGAGTAAGAATTACATGTAACAAGGCAGACCATGTGCAAAGGTAAACATTTTATATTTGCCTTGCAAATGTTACCTTTCTAGTTTAACAAATTTGCTGATTTTAAAAAAGTTAGCGCAAAAAGTTATTCCTGGTTACAGGTCAGTCATTGTGATAGGTAAGTGTTTGCCATGCATTGTGAAGTAGCATTTTACATGTACAAATGTACACGTATGTTCTTGGTAAATCTAATGCTGTAAACTGTTTTATCCTCTGCAGACGCCATAACTAGGCTAGAGATTAATTAGGCTACAGATTAATAATTAGGCTATGGATCCAATATTAAATGACGTGTGACCTGTAACGTTGCTGTGTGTCTGTTAAATCAGGTCTTGTGCTGATGGGATTCAAACCCCGCACCAGTCTGAAGCCATACTTCCACATCAGACCTGCACAGTTCCTGTTCCCAGATGAGTCGGTAAGGTGTTCGTGAGTGTGTGAATACACCATCTAAACAGGGCTCAAAATACTTGTTTTCTGCGTACCTGCACTTGGGTACTAGGTAACATTGAAAATTACCTGCACCAGGCAAATTTTTACCTGCACCACTCAGAATTTAGGAAGTATGGATTATTCTAAAAGTGTTTCGAAACCATTATTGAAGCATAATTACCTTTGCCAAGAAGGTTATGTTTTCAGAGGCGTTCGTGTGTGTGTGTGTGTGTGTCTGTCATGGGACACGATAACTTGAGAAGGCTAAGATGGATTGTCTTTCACTTCATATTTTTTTCTGAAAAAATCCGAGAACCAACAAATTAAATTGGGGTGGTCTAAGGACTTTAAGTTTAGCTAACTCTGACCCCAGGTCATCTCCGGGAGTACGCGGCTGTTCTCGGCGCTGCTCCAACGCTGTCTGGCCCGGGACGTCGTTCCCATCTGCAGGTACATCCCACGGAAAAACTCTCCTCCCAAGTTTGTGGCCTTGCTACCACAGGTGAGTACTAAACTGTGTAAAAGTCTGAAGTTCAACAGATATTTCTGCCCCTGGCTTTGTGTTGATTGTCACGTTTTTTCGTTCCATGCATATGATTGTGTGTCAGATACATTACTTATGCAAGAAAAGCATGCAGATGTCAGGAGGGAACAACTTGCTGCACGAAACAAGAAATAACAATTTTTTACTGCATGTATATACTCCTCTCTATTCATGATACATGGACAAGACTTTGAAAGTCTGTGCAAGTTTACATGTACAATCCCTCAGAGTTAGATGTAAAAAAAAGCTTCATATCCAGTCCTAAGATAAATATAAAATACTGTAAATCACAATTTTTTTCACAGTACATAATATTAGTTTTGCAAACATGTCCATTTTTCTTAGACCACGAAATTTTGCTACCGCGAATCTTAAACGATATACAGTAACAAGAAAATTGGAATCTGATATAATGTTTCTTTGCTGACCTGTGTTTTGAACCTGGCTTTCTTACAGAAGGAAGAATTTGATGACAACAACATGCAGTCTACCCCTGCTGGCTTCCATGTCATCTTTCTGCCTTTTGCTGATGACTTGCGGAAACTGAACTTCGAGGACACACCTCGAGGTGAGCTTTGGGATCTTGAGGTTACAGGTTCAAATCCCAGTCTTGTTTGTTTGTTTAACATAACTGGTAAACAGCCTTCAGGAATAACACACCAGTTTTGTAACAGTACTTAGTACAAGCTACGTAAAATTGGGCTGTAAGGTTTGAACCACTCACACTAGTACTTAGAAGGTCCCCTACTCTTTTCGATAAGTGTGGTGAGATCTTTAACATGATTGAGGTGTGGCTGTCCTCAAACACGGGATCTACGGCTTGATGTCCTGTCTGAAAGGGTGTTTTTGAATGAAGCTAGGTACAATGTACTCATTGACACCTGAGTCGAGTGAGAAAATAGGTAAATCCTCTGATACATGCATGATACAACTGTAACAGTGTGGTCCTCCAGGGATTCAAACTGAGAACCTTAAGATTCTGAGTCCACAACCCTAACCACGACTGTCAAGACCACAAGACCACTTTGCCTTGCCACCCCAGACAACCTGGTTGTCAAATTTCTAAACCTGACTTTTTATGAACCTGACTTTGTATGATAGTTATGCCACTGGATATGAAACAGTCTTTTTCCCATGATTGTTTCCAGCAAAACAGGACCAAGTGGACAAGGCCAAAGAGATCATCAACAAACTGAAGTTCAAGTACGATCCCATGAGCTTTGAAAACCCAGGTATTTTACACTCCAGTTCTTGCAAATTATATATGATTTTAATTAATACTGCCTATGATGACTGCGTCATTTTCAAGTGTTTGGCAGAAAATGTTTTTTGATAATAACTAGCTTCAAACCTTGATGGAATTGGCCTGTTTGTTAAGAATTTCAACAGCATTAGTCTCTGGGCAGTGTAAAATGGCATCAACTGGGTCACTTTGGGTCAATGGGGACAGCCTATCTTCACCTCTGTCTTGTCTTGACTTGTACGTGGCCATGCTTTTTGTATAGTTTACTAAGAGGATCACTTGTCTTATATGATTAGAAGACCACTTTTTCTCAGTCCTGAGTGGTCGTCCTAGACAAGTTTTAGTGTATTTTGGATTATGTAATATTCCACGATGTTTGACCTTCATTGATGTACTCTCTAAGTTTGAGTATATTTGAATGTTGTATCTTACACCCCGTTCAAATACAATGCACATCTGGGATCCAATCGCGATTGAATCAGGATTGCCTCCAACCGCTATTGGATCCCGATGCGTTCACACTTGTTGCCTCACATCCAATCGCGATTGTGTTCCTTCTGCACAGGAAGGACCTCCATAATGACCATAATGACCATCGATTATTATTGTATTTAATTTATGTTAATTTATTTATGTTATATTACTTTTTGTATTTTATATGTTATTTGTCATTGTAATTGGGCTCCCTTGGAAATCAGCCCCTTGGGCCTGAAGGGACAACCCATACGTCCTTAAGATGAATAAATAAAATAAATAAAAAAATTTCCTCCAATCGCGATTGAATCCACGTCCCAGAGGTCAATTTGATAATCACAATTCAATCGTGATTGGAGCGCTCATGTTCAGAAAAATTGATCGTGATTGAATTGCGATTGGACTTCAAGCGCGATTCAAGCGCTATATTCGCAACCCAGTCTGAATGGGGTGTTATCTCTGTTGTCCGTATCTGTCAGTGATTCAGCAACACTACAGGAACCTGGAGGCCCTGGCCCTGGACAGGGACGCACCAGAGGAGGTCTATGACTTTACACGTAAGTTTCTCACTGGGTTAGTATCTTCAGCTTTATCTTTGCCGGAGCTCTGAGATGTTATATAAGCCCCGGCTACACCCCCATATAGCCCCTATTGGGGCACTTTAGGGTGGGGAGGCCTTGGTCTTAGGCGGGCAGGCCTCTAGCCTGGCCCGGAAGGACTCAACAGTGTGAGCCATGATTACCGGGCCAGGCAAGGCGTTCCATTGTGGGATTGTGCGGGGGAAAAGGGAATATTTATAGACGTCTGTACGTGCGTGTATGGGTTGGTATTTATACTGATGACTCCCTTGGGTACGCCCCTGAGCTGGCTGACTACACCGGTGGACTTGCCTTACTCCAACAGAGTGGCCGTCAACACAGTATCCTGCAAAAATGTGGGGCTTTTTTATTAGCAGAAAACTAGGAAAGATGCACTTTCAGTTCTTAACAATAATGAAATCCAGAAGTACAAGTATGAAGGAAGTTGCATGTAGATGAGATGATGCATATAGTAGAGCTTTCCAGTCCACAGCTAAAAGAGACATGTAAAATGTCATGAATATATTTTAAAGCTGTAAGACACTAGATCAATTTTTTTTTTTCATAAAACAGACTTTGAACTTTGCAGCCACGGGCTAGAATGTGTGTTGTACATTGCCATTTCATCATGTTACTCATTAAAATAATTAGGGAAATACAATGTTGCAATACATCATATTATAATGAACTTTGAATAACATAGCAAACAGGTTAGGGATAACAAAACCAAGGATCAATACATTGTGTCAGTGTAGCCAGTGTAACTTCTCTTTGTAACAGCTTCACATATAAAAGCTTCACAATTTACATCTTTTTGTATTCCCTGGTGTCCCATTTCACTAGTCTGCTCAGTCACTGATGCAGACTTTTTTATGTCCTACCTGGGCCGCGATTACGTTCGATATGGGTGTTCCAGCCCGTGTGATAACTAGCGGTACGGCCCGGGGGTTCTTAACGCATATGGCCCGGGGCTTCTAAATGTTCCATAGAACGATTTGAACGCGTTTCGCCCTAACCGCGTGTGCTGCTTTCGAATTTCAAATACAAAATTCGGACTTTGGAATTGATGTTGTTGCATTTTTTGGGTTTAGGGACACCAAATTTTCGCTCATTTCGCATTGAAAGGTGTGTTTTCTTGGGTGGGTATGACATGAATAAAATACAACACGGTGTATTCCCCATCACCCTCGGTCCCAGCCCTCCCGCGGATCGGATGGGCGATCCGACGCGCAGTCGGGCTGTTACCTCGGGCGATACGGAATACCCCGTGTTGTATTCTATACATTTTGTATATACAACATGTACAACTGCAGTTTATTCCCAAACAGAACCAGACAAGGAGAGGATTGACCGTCGTGCAGGTCAGCTGGTCGGAGAGTTTAAGGACATGGTGTTTCCTGATGGCTACACACCGGGGGCAAAACCCAAGAGAAAGGTACAGCTTCAGATCAGTCTGTTCGAAATACTGGGTGCATGTGCACCTTAGTGCACCCAAAATGGACCTATACCATTATTACGTCACAGTTTGTTTACCGCAATGAATGCCGGTCAATCAACGTTTATATTATACAGGGGTGCGTAGCGCGGTGTGTGTTTGTGTAGCGTTAGACGATATAAGGCCTTTATACAGTACTACTTTCATCTAATATCACAACTAAATCACCCATTACGGCATGTACGTAATGCTGTGTCAACAAAACTAGACGCAGTAAAAATCAAACATACCTTACTTTAAAAACTTTGAAATGATCTTTATTCTTTAACTGACCGTTCTAGAATGTTCTTTAGAACACTATATAATAATACTGTCTCGTAAACAAACTGTGATAGGTCCATTATAGAGATTTAAAAGCTACAATTTCAGAGCACAGATCAGTGTAAGACTGTGTGATCTGACAACTACACAGAGAAAGGTACAGATCCAGATCGGTAATTCTAGAAGTGTGGATACGTGTACTTAAACTCAGTCTGGTTGTAGCTCAAACTTGCATGTTAATTTTCCTGTATTTGTGCTGGATGGTTATTTCTTAAAAGACACAGGATTAAGCTTAAAAACAGCAAAAGATATGACAAGGGACTGTGCTTTATTTTAATTTCTGGCAGTACCTTACCGAGAGGCTAAGCTTCTGGCCTGAGCATTTATAGACAGAGTACATAGGCAGCTTACTTGTTAAGTGTCCTGCATGCATGTACATGTACACTGTACATTCTTGTTGATGACTGTACATTGTTCTGTTTCAGACTGCAGCAGCTACAGCAGCTGAACAGGTCACAGAGGCAGATATCAAGAGAATGGCACAGGCAGGCACGGTGAGTCAGATACATTATGTATCTTGTACTGTCTTAGAATACTACACGGTGTACTCTGTATCACCTGAGTTACCAGCCCAACCAATCGTGAGTCACAGGTTGCCCAAAGTTTGGAGGGAAATCCAACCTGTGGGAGGGCTGGGACCGAGCATGATGTGAAATACACTGTGTGGTATTTTATGTCATACGTATATGAGAAAACAGGCCTTTCAATGTGTCGAGTTACTCTATCAATTTTTTGGAAGCTGCGGTGATAACCATTAGAGTGATACCAGTACAAATGTAGTTGTGCTCTTTCAGTCAGGTTTGCTTGGTACAAATAATTATAACGTATATGAGGGATGTACATGTACAATGTATATAACTGTCTTGTCAGTTGTAATTTGTAGTTTTGTATGAAAATTCTTTGCAATTTAGATAGTCTCATCCCTGCAGTAAGGTTTGCTTTTTGGTATCATAAATAAAGAAAGCATCATTTTTCTTCCAGCTGGGGAAGTTGACGGTGCCTGTGCTGAAGGAGTTCTGTAAGCAGACTGGGGTCAAGTTTACAGGCAATAAGAAACAAGACGTCATTGATGCCATCTCAGAACACTTTCAAATAGAGTAGTGTTTTGGGGCCCTGTCATGTGCGTCATGATCATACGATTTTTGTACAATACAAAACTGAATGTACGGTTCGAAGCCAAAGGTAGGTTGGCCATCAGTATTTCTGACCTGTTACATGATTGTGTACTTATCCAGGTACTATTATGATCATGTAGTCTTGTAGGGTATAATGACTGTAGTATACAGTTCCTGAACTTACTATCATGAAAGTTCATCTGTGTTGGTAGTTACATGTTTGAAGTTAAAACTTTTGGTCCAACACAAAAAATTCTCTCACCTAGAGCTTTCGATCAGTCACTCTGGTCTTCCTCAGTAGACTGACCCAGTGAAACTTGTCATGTGGCTTCTTTGAAGTGTGACGTCAACACTGGGTCAAAGGTATCTGGTACTAGTGGTAGACGATGTTGGCCCCCGTCGTGGTTCAATGAAGGGTGATGGGCCCTGATGTCAATGGCTTCCTTCACCCCTCTCAAGAAATAGTCTTGTTCAGTGTGTAAAATCCTTACAGTGTCAAGTGAAACAAAATGTCCGGGTGACTCTATATGTGGATGTGTGGATGTGAGACACCCCTGAACTGGCAGAGCTAGGCCGTGTATGTTCTTGAAACCTGGCTTTTAGAGACATCTCTACTGAGGAAGACCAGAGTGACTTGTCGAAAG